CTGGGAGATTCAGAGCCCCGCGCGGTGCTGCTTAGTCTGGACCCCGCGGCTGGCAGAATTTCCGCTCCCGTCTCAGGATGGGTGTGCGCCCGCCTCGGTTGCTCCCCTTCGGGTTGGAGGGTCGCAGCCAGGGGCAGCCCCGCCTGCAGAGGGCCTGGGCGCCTCTGCACTCGGGGCGGGTGCCGCCTGCGCCCGGCCGGTGTGCGAAGCGCAAAAATGAACTCATCCGGGAAGTGAGCTGTCGAACTCGCCGGAGTTTCTTTTTTTCTTGCCTTACAAAGATGCAGAAAATTCAATTAGCCTAATTGCATTCTTGGCCGAAGCAGTAGAGACTGTCCGCGGTCCGTGGGTGTTGTCATGTGACCCGATTCCTTCCCAAGAGCTCGCTTTGCTTTAAAGTTACGGGATTTATGACTTTGGGAAGGTTCAGCCCCAGCTCCCCGGCGGAGGCTGGAAAAGGGGTCACCCAGCGCGCCCAAGCAGGGAACTGGCCGCCAGGCAAAACCCTGTCTGGTCGTCTCATCCCGGATCCGGCCTGCTCCTCTTTTTAAAAAACAGTGCTTTGGTTCGCTTTTTCTTCTTTCAGTGGAGTGCTGAAACCATGAAAATTCTCTAGGCAAGAGGTTCCTGGTTTTTTCGTGTGGTAACACCCGAGCTCAGTGTCTCAAACTGCTGGCCCAATTATGTGACAGCAGTTTTGGGAGCGACTACCAACATTTTTGCCTTTCTTGGGAGTGGAATAGAATGAAAATCTTCTGCGTGAGTGTGTGAGAGAGAGAATGGAGATACACATTATATTCATGGCGTGCTGAAGAAAAAGTGTGTTTTGTTTTGTTTCTTGAGACAGTCTGTGGTGCAGGCTGGCCTTGAGTTCATGGTGATCCTCCTGCCTCAGCCTTCTGAGTGCTGGAATTACAGGCCTGCGCCACCACAGGCAGCTGCATTAGTGTTTTATAGCCGATGTTTAATACTTCATTTTTATCTCCACAAACATTCCTTTCACATAGGCCTCGTGGCCGTTTAGCTCCTACCCAACCATGTTGATATCAAGAGTTTTGACTTAATTTCCCTCCTAGGTTTTCCTCTATTCCAACAGCTACACTTACCTTCCCGCCCCCAAAACTCCAGTTACTCTTTTTAATTGTCCTTGAAGAGTGGTTTGTCCAGAAAAAGAAAGCCATTTCTATCACTGACAAAGTACTCTACTTAAAAGACCAAGCTGTCATATCTCTGTTCAAAACAAAATTCGTTTCATAAATAAAAGATATTTTCTTCATTCTCGTTGACCACAGCAGTTGTGTAGCTATTTCAGGTTTCTTTTTAGTATGTTAATCTTAATTTGCTTCTTTAAGTCAGTAGTGAATTTTTTTAAAAAATGTTTGTACTGAAGAAGGGAACCAAAAAGTCAGACTTGATCCTCCCAGCTCTTAAGGAAATGCTGACTTGTTTTTTCAGAAGAGTCTGACACTCACTGTCAAACAGTTCCCCAAGGAGGAGACATAGGACAGGAACAGTTTGAGAGCCTGCTTGTAGCAGAGTGTGAGGTGTCCTATAGCCTGCTTTAGTCATCACAGGAGTTCTCCCCTGAAGAGAGTGACCATGTCGTGAAGAGGAAGCTCGGTGTAGAGGTGGTTAGGAGGTTTGGCCAAGGTTCATGTGTTAGCTACTAAGGGCAGCAACACTGTATCATGCCAGAACCCCAGGCTCGTTCTCCTGTTGTGAAATACTGTCATAATTCTGACTTACCGGATGTCATCCCACAGACTCCCACCACCGTGATCACTGTATATGCGAGACTGTGTGTGTCATTTCTTCATTAGTGTGGAGAAGTTCTTTGAACTAAAAGACTACAGCCTGCTGCTGTAGTTGGCAGAGTCAGCGGTCAGTGAATTACAGTCCTCGTAGGGTGTTGGTGTAAGGTGAAATTTCTCAGTCTCCGTGGACACTGTCCTTGATGTAGTCGCATCATCTTTAATACCTCACCGTATTTGTTTCAGGTGTCGTCTGTGGGCCTCTGCTCTTGGTATTTTCCTCAGGGAATTCTTTCCTTTCTCTTGATTCACTCATTCGAGGAAGAAACGACGTTTGGTCAAAACCTCAAAGCAGCAAAGGGAGGGGCTGTGATGACATACAAGAAAAGAATAAGTATGTCCTTGCTTAAAGCAAAATGACCTGCATGGCTAAAAGTTAGCCTTAGAATTATGACAGTTGTCAGAACTCAGAGCCTCTGTGTGCGGGCCGGGAAAGTACACGGCCCGTTAGGGTTTTATGGAAGGGGTTTTGCTTGGGATCGTGGCGTTTTCTCGGGTGAGACTGCAAGACTAGCTGCTTAATGACTGGCCTCCCTTCCCCAGCCACTGTGCGTTGGGGTAGGAGTCACACGTTTTCAGTGTTTGCTGAGGCCTTGTCCGGTTAAGCACAGACTGTGGCCGTCACCTGTACTGCTGCTAGCAACGGACAGAATCTTCTTTCTTACACCAAAATCACAGTCCCTGTGCGGCCCTGCGTCGCCGTTTGGCTCTGTCCCACCTTTCACCGTCGCCGCACCCTGTTCCCTCTTCCGTTCGTTCTTCCTCTTCCCTAGCCGGCCCGGCGGACCCCTCCTCTCTGGACTCGCGGCGGCACCTTTCTCTCCTGAGAGAGGCCCTTCCTGCCCACCCACCTGAATGAGTTCGTTCCCCCCAGCAGGTGCAGTCACTTCATCCTGGCTTATTTTCGTAGCACTTCTCACTGCCTGAAATGATGGGTTTTTACCTGTTCATCGTTTGCATATTGACCAGACAGTTTGATGATTCTCAGTCGGCTAATGTGGGCCTTTTCCCGGCCTCGGTCTCACACTCTCATTTTCCTCCCTGTGCCTAGTAGTAACTTTGATTTTTCATCAAGCCCCGCCTTCATTTAACCCACCGTTCTTTTCCTAAAAATAGCATCTGGTGATGTTTTGAGGAAACCTGGTGACTTTGCTTCTAAAGATTGGCGCGGGTTTTCTGCATCTTGGGCACTTTCTGGGATCCTGTTAAGGATCTACTTGTGAAATTATCAGTGACACAGAATTTCAAAACCAGATGATAGGAAATTAACGGTGGCTGTTACATAGCATATTGTTGTCTTCAAAGTAGTTGTTCCGATTACCGGGTGTAAGCATGCAGAATTGATCAAACAGGCATTAACTGTTCGTTTCAATAAACCAACAGAAATCAGTACTACAATTATCTTAGCCTTCTTGTGTATGTGTATATATATTTCCTTTCTTTCTTTTCTCATTCCCACATCCCAATTGTTCTTTCCTTTTGAGCAGTTTCTTTCCCTTTCACGGTGTCTATTGCACCTGATTTTGTTTACTCTGAGTTTCTTACAAAGTAAACACTCAAAAATCGATAGCATTCCTGTACGCAAAGCTTGTCTTCATTAAGTTACAGTTCTCATCCTTTCAAGTGTGTAAGTTCTGTAGGTTTTCTATTAAAGGAATGAGAGAAAGTTATATATTGTTGAAAAAGAGGCTGTTATTATTAACGTAGTGATTTATTTGGATTGTCAGTCTTTAAGGAATTACACAAAATATATTTAAACTATGTTCAGTATGGCTTTAGATTTCAAAGGTATTTCAGACCATCGTGACTGCATCTCATTACAATGAAATAAACCTCTATAATAGTAGTTTCTGCTGTCTGGAATATGAATAAAGATTATTAGTGTCCCTGTTATTTGTATTTAAATACCTTTGTTCTCTAGGATGAAGTTATGTTCTTTGTATTTGTAAGAATTTTACACTTTGAACAAAGAAAAATGAAAAGCAAAGATATAAAGTAACTTCTGATCGGCCTCCGACCGTCAGGACCCCAGCGTAGGCCGCCTGACACTGAGTGAGGTGCTTTCCCTGAGGAGGTGAACGGTCTGATGCAGGGAGCGGAGAGCTGGTAGCCGAAGAGTGTATGTTGGGGCTCCAGCACTGACTGTGAGAGTCGAGGCAGTCTTTGAGGCTCAAGGCCTTGTCTGGCTTTTAGTGTCTAAGTGTGGACTTGTGTTCTAAAGGTGAATTCGTGGAGATAGATCTGCCGTATCTGCTTTGAAAGGGCACCAGAATTTCATTGCCTGAAAGTCAGCGTCCCTGCTAATGCTGTCACCTGTGAACTTCCCTCCCAGCTTGCATCATGAGCCCCTGTGCTTTTCCACGGACTACAACTGACTCTGACCACGTCCCTTGGGTTCTTGTCGAGAATCGTACCACTCTCGCCTGTTGCTTAGTGTCAGTAGAGCTGACTGTTTGGGAATGAAAAGATGAATGGCATGTAACAAAACATAATTTTGGTCTGTGTGTTTTAATGTATCGGGAGAAACTGTTTCATGGGTATTTACTTCTTTTACAGACACCATTAAAGAAAACCAAGGCTCTTATTGGCGAGATGGGGATGACTTTCTCCAGTGCAGTAAGTTTTGAACAAATCCTGTTTGATTTTGTGTTTGTATCCTAAGAAGAAACACACTGTTCTGGGCGTCTGCTGTAGTCTATGTGGGAGTTTTTTTCAGTTAAATATCTAACCCAAAGGACGGACTTTTTAATGTGCTATAAATTCTCTTAATTGAAGTATTACTTCCTGTCAGCTGAAGATTAATTGCAAGTATTAAAAAAAAAGTTGCAAGTATTTTCTAAGTCAGTCTGTGATACAACTCCGAATTAGAGAATGTTATTTAAGGCTGGGGATTTAGCTCAGCGGCAAAGCGCCTGCCTGGCAAGCGCAAGGTCTTGAGTTCGGTTCCCGGTACCAGAGAAAAACCAAAAAAAAAAAAAAAAGTTATTTAAAACCTCACTCAGGTTTGAAAATAGATTGTAAAAAATCAAGTAATATTTATGCTATGTAACTTACTCTGTAGTAAAACCTCATTTATCTCCAGTAGCCAACCCTGACAAAATACAGGTGCAGAGGTGCAAAATAAAATACTAGCGACTCAAATGTAAGAACCCCACCTGTAACCCGTAAGTGGTAGTCTAGGCGTGGAAGGCGACTTAATAAAAGAAAAGCCACGCAATGGTAACAGTGCTGAAGAGCACAGACTCTGGAGCCAGACTCCCTCGTTTTGAGTATTTTCTCTGTCTTTTTCTAGCTCTGTAACCTTGGCTAAGTTACTTAATCTTTCTGACTGTTGGTTTCCGCATTTGTAAATGGAGTTACCAAAATCTGTATCAAGTTATTGTAGTTAAATGAGTTGATATGTGGAAAACATAGTATCAGTGCTGGACTTGAAAGAAGTGCTTCATGATATTGGGTTATTACATTGCCTAGCTGGATGGTCTTTGTAGTTGAAAGAAGGAAAACTAGATATTCATCCCTATAGGTGATTGAAAGTCGTCTGAAATTTCAGCATCCCTTTTACTGTTATCAGAATACGTCCTTATGATTAATATTCTTTTTTTTTGTTTTTTTTCCAGTTCGGTTCCGGGAACCGAACTCACGACCTTGCGCTTGCCAGGCAGGCGCTGTGCCGCTGAGCTAAATCCCCAGCCCCATAACATTCTAAACAAATTGGATACCTTCTACTGAAAAATGAAAGACTCAGGGCCTTGTTGTTAGGGATGACACAGAGGCTTTGTTTTTCATTTAATGTTTAGCACTGTTGAGTCATTGCCGTAAATCTTGCAGAAATAAGACATGAAAGTATTGGAAAAAAGTCAAAATTATTATTTCTGCATTTTTGGATTCTTACTTAGAAAACATAGGAGGATTGTTGGAAAACTTTAATAGAATTTATTTATTTATTTTTGTCTTTTTGAGATGGTTTCACTGTGCAGTTCAGGCTGGCCTTGAACTCATTTTGTAGCCCAGGCTGGCCTTGAACTCAGTGATCCTCCTGCCTCAGCCTCCCAAGTGCTGAGATTACAGATGTGCTCCACCACACCTGTTAAAAAAAATTCTAAGTTTTATTTAAAAATTCTATTTTTAATAGAATTTACAACGTAGAAATGAAAAACTAAAACTATCTTCCATGTAAAGAGTTAGAAAAGTCAAAGAGGGAGAACAGAAAAGATCATAATAGCAAAATACAGACTCTAGGAGTAACTGGTAGTGGGCAGACACGGTTAAGACCTATGTAAATAGTTACAGTTCTGAGTGAAAATAAAAATGCTTGATATGTAGGCATGTAGATCGTTTTCTGTTGGAATATAAGCAAAGTACTTATTCTAACTCAGATCATAGCAAGACTCTAGTGATTCTATACTTTTCTTTGTTTTTTCTCTTGTACCCAGGGCCAAAACAGCATGCTAAGTATCTGCTATACTTCTGAGCTACACAGCTTACCTTAAAGTAAAATATTTTTTACATGTCAGAGGTCAAATCTATCAAGGTTATATGTTCAAAGGAAGAGACTGCCCAAGTAAAAGCAGTGTGTTAGTGGCCATAAAAGCACTGTGAAAGAAAAAGAAAAAAATTAGGAGCTCTTGATGTAAAAATTCACAGAAGTCAGCAGGGCATGGTGGGTGCACACATCCATAATCCCAGCACTCGGGAAGCTGAGGCAGGATTGCTCTGAATTCGAGGCCAGCCTAGACTACATAGTTCAAGACCTGCTTGAACTACATAGTGAGATCCTGTCACCAAAAAAGAAAAAACAAAAAAAGCAGAAGTCAAAGGCAAAAGTAAAACTGGGAAGTATCTATAATGAGACCCAGTCATTCCTTAACTCAGGTCTGAAATAGGAAGTCAGCAACCCAGAAGGAAAAAGAACATGAGCAAAGCACATGAACAGGCTGTTTGCATAACCAGTTGGTCAGTTTGCGTGTGGAGAACGTTCACCCTCACGCGTGTCTAAGCATGCCAGTGCGGGCTGCAGTGCCGCTCAGTAGCAGAGCTCATGGGGAGTCGGTGCTAATCTTCAGCACCGAAAAACTAACTCCAGCCTGAAAGGCCAGAAAAACAGTGCTGTCTTTAAAAGGGGCGGTGTCTGATTTTAGCGTGAGCGTGTGCTTGAGTGGCCATCCCCTCCCTGCTCGTGAGTGTAAGCTAGCACTGACTTCTGTGACGTGGCTTGCTGGTGTGTACAGGAGTTCCTGGGTGGAGGGGGGAAGTTTGTAGACAGTAGATAAGGTAGGTAAGCAGATGAGAAGGAACCCTGACGGTGAAGCTGCTCTTCTCAGATACAGTAGATTCAAGTAGCGCTCTAAGTGCGTCTTTGGTTAAGACCCTGTTCCAGCCCTTTGTGTCCGTGCATATGGACATTATTTCGTTGCCAAATGATACCACGTGTATTGTTACTTGTAGAAAGAAACCAACCGAAAAAGAAAAGTTATTTCGCAGCTTGACTTCCCTCCTTCGGTGTCTCCACTGTGTGAGCTAAAGCAGCTGTGAAGTATGTCATGTGTGAAGAGAATCTGCTCGTGAGGAGCTCAGGCTTCAGCGCTGCACTGTTGAGCGGCTCCTTTACTCTCCTCAGCAGCGATGCGCAGTCCGTCCTTCTCAGGTAACTTTGTCTTTCCTGCCCCCTGTCTCCGCAGTATGTGCCCAGCGCGCTGTGCTGCCCCAGCAGAGCCAGTGTCCTGACGGGGAAGTACCCGCACAACCACCGCGTCGTCAACAACACTCTGGAGGGGAACTGCAGCAGCACGTCTTGGCAGAAGACCCAGGAGCCAAGTACTTTCCCGGCAATACTGAGGTCCATGTGCGGTTACCAAACCTTTTTTGCAGGAAAATATTTAAATGAGGTAGGCTGCACGGTCTGTTCCTTTTTCCTGTAAGAGCGTTTGCAGTGGGAAAAATTCCTGCCAGTTGCCTTTTCCTCAGTGTCAGTTCAGGTCGTGTCGCAGGGTTCTTGGTATATTTTCTTTTCTGAGCTGCCCATTGAAGAACCTACTTCCCCGAGCACGTTGACATGCGTTGGGTACTGTGTTGCTGCTTCTTCTGCCATCGTTTATTTAAAGATCCTCCTCAGACTGCTGCTGTCTTCCCTTCTTCCTCGGGAGCTGTGCTTGTCACGTGGCTGTCACGGTATCTTTGTTTCCGTTTCCCTTGTGTGGGGATCCAAGTGAAAAATTTTCCTCTTAGATTCTTTCCTCGGATATCCAGACAGTCTTTTCTGAATTGAACGGCCTAATGCTTAACATGTTCTGACCGGGAAGTGAAAACAGACAGCGGAGAGGTGATGCGGAAGGGACAGTAGCGCGTCTGGGGCGCATGGGTTAGCACACAGTGACACGGCGCAGGACGAAGGTGCACATTTTCCTACTTAACCCATGGTCAGTAGCGGACAGTCTTGAGTATCTGATTTGTATTTTCTGTTCTACCCCCTCCCCCAGTAGTTGGGCACATTTGCAACCTTGTGGGTTTGGAGGAGGTTGAGTCCGTTTAAAATAGTCATGGAAAGTAGGAAGTGTGATATTTGGTCATAGGGTTGGGACTGCGGGTCACAAGGGAACTTGTGCAACGCTGCATACTGAAGGTCAGCTGACGTGTGTGACTCTCAGGGATTACAGTCTGCCTTAAACGGGCCGTGTTAGACCTTGCTGAAAAAGGCGGTAGTGTGCTGTGGTCTCTGCGCTGACTGATCAGCTAAGCTGGCAGATTTCATCAGGACAACTGAGGTGGCAGCCCGATAGTTCATAGTCTGATTGTCCTGGCTGTTCCTAGCCACGGGTTCAGTTGGACGCTCCTGTGCCGTCACAGCTGGTCACGTGGGGTAGGCCACGCGAACTTTTTCTGTAGCAGGCCAAACGGTCAGTGTTCTAGGCTTTGCGGGCCGTGCATCTCTGAGCAGGGTAAATACTCCAAAAGTGAATGACAGTGATTGTGTTCAAGTAAAATTCTCCACTGAAATTTGAAGTTCATATAGTTGTCACATTTCATAACATATTTCACAGTTCATAAAATACACAGAACAATTGGCAAGCCAGATTTGGTTCACTGGCCATAGTTTGCCACTTGTGGCCAAAAAGTTGGTGGGATTATAGAGTTCTTTGCTTTTTTATGAGTTGGTGTGTTTGGGGAAAGTGAGCAGCTGTTGTGTTTCAGGCACTAGCCTTAAAAAGATCCTCAGCTGCTGGTTTCTGTTCTGATCATGTCTAAGGAGCTCTAACGCCCTGCTTGTCTCTTCAGTATGGAGCCCTGGATGCAGGTGGCCTAGAACATGTTCCTCTGGGCTGGAGTTACTGGTATGCATTGGTGAGTGACTATTGAAGATCATGCACAGCCCTACAGATGCAAGATGTGTTTGATTTCTTTTTTTTTGTTTGTTTTTTTCCAGTACCGGGAATCAAACTCATGACCTTGCGCTTGCCAGGCAGGCGCTGTGCTGCTGAGCTAAATCCCCAGCCCCTGATTTCTAATTTAATGCCAACATACTTTTTTTTTGCTTTATTAACTGTTTTATCTCTGTAAAAGAAAATCTGTTGACTGGTGAGTCACTTCTGTCCAGATTTTTTCCCTGCATTGTAGAGGGTTTAGCGATGTAATATACTGTTTTTCCTGGTCCATCTGTGGCTTTTAAACTAGGACAATTAATTTTAAAAAAATTTTTTTTTGGTACCAGAAATCGAACTCAGGACCTTGTGCTTGCCAGGCAGGCACTTGTGCTGCTGGGCTATATCCCCAGCAATTGAAATTATTGAAACTGTGTTAGTCCTAGATAAAGCCCTGATCAAAAAATCTAGTTGAGCATTGATTTGAGTACATGCCTTTTGTAAGATAGTTTAGCCCAGCATGGGTTTAGACTTTCATATTATGTTTGGATTTCATAACGAATTTTACTTCCTCTTTTAAATAGGAAAAGAATTCTAAATACTATAATTACACCCTCTCCATCAATGGGAAGGCGCGCAAGCATGGTGAAAACTATAGTGTGGACTACCTGACAGATGTCCTGGTGAGTTGCTGGAACTCTGCGTACAGCTCTGTCCTTGCAGGTCTGGCTCACATTCGGTTGAAGACTTTGCCTAGAAAACATCTAGTCTTACTTGTTTGTGTTGGGCAATACAAATGCACAGTGATTTAGTCTAATGGCCAGAGAATATTTCCAGCTGATTAAGAGTTCCTGGGGATGGAGGAATGGGATGTATATATGCGTGCCAGGCTCAGATCTCATGTTCTTGGAATTCCAGGAACAAGCCCCTTTTTCTTAAGGCTAGAGAGAATACTTGGTACAGGGTTTGCTTCATAATGGTTCCCAGCCTTGACCTCAGAAGTTAGGACAGCAGCCTGATCGGCCTTGTGTGGCTGGAGGCATAGGGATATGGGGCTTTTTTTTTTTTTTTTTTCCCCTGGTACTGGGCTTCGAACTCACGACCTTGCGCCAGGCAGGCGCTGTGCCACTGAGCCAAATCCCCAGCCCCCGGATATGGGACTTTTCTTGACTGTATGTATAAAACAATGAAGTCCAGTGAATTTGGGGCTTCCTGAAGTGTTTCTAATGGAAACCTTTCGTTGAGCACTGGCTCACTAAGTAGGTCAGCAGCCGTTCTAACAGGTGTTCAGCAGTAAGTGAAGCAAAGTTGGGTTCTTTGAAAGGTACCCCTGCTGTGGCGAGGTTTCGGGTGTGCCTTGTGTGTGTGCACGAGCGTGTGTCGTCACCTGTTGCTCCCGTAGAGGGGAAGCTCTTAGACACACGAGGGAAAGGGGCCACTTAGATGACATTTAAGCAGGAAGCTGAAGGAGGTGAGCGTAAGCCATCCAGATCGGGGACAGAATGCTAGGCAGGGAGTGGTAGTCTGGGGCCCCTGGTGGCAGGAGTGTACCTCTTCAGTATGTGAGAAACCACAGGGGAGCTGGTAGGACCGGAATAAAGCAGGTGCGTGGGAAGCCGACAGGAAATAGATCCTATCGGTGTCTTTTGAACTAATGCCGGGAATAAATTAAGGTGTAAATCAGCTAGAAAATGAAAGAGAACGTGCATGTTTTCACTTTCGTAAAGTACCTCTTGATAATCAGATGAAGAATTTAAGTGCTTATGAAGTAAAGCCCTGATGTTGATGTATTTCGGGTTCTGTTTTGGTTTTGGCGCTGGGGGTGGAACCTGGGGCCTAGTGTGTGGTTTACCACGGAGCTGTCCCAGTGTTTGGGCTTAGTACTCACTTGGCTTAGCTGCTTTGGCTGGCGTAATTGACGTCTCCCGTGTGTTTCATAAAGTTAAGGTAACTTCGCCCACCTGGTCCCCCGTCCAGAGTGAGGTTGACTGTCCTTTCACCTCTAAGGCATCGCAGGTGTACCTGGTCCAGGCTTCCGTGATGTCAATACTAAAATGGCCCAGTTGTGATGTGGATAAAGTAGCGACTTCCAGGTTGCGTACGGCTCTCGGGAGAGCGTTGCCTCCTTACAGCGCTTGCTGCTCTGTGTTTTATTGCCTGAGAAACAGCTGTCTTGTGAGAAACAGCGTGCTTGCGCATGACCTTGAAATGTGCGCATGTGCCAAGTTTAAGAGCTCAGACGGCCCCCTGACCGCCAGGGGTGTGTGTCTGTGAAGGACGCAGCTCCTGGGTAGGACAGGAGGTGACCGTCCTTTGTGTGTGTCAGGCTAATGTCTCCTTGGACTTCCTGGACTACAAGTCTAACTTCGAGCCGTTCTTCATGATGATCTCTACGCCAGCCCCTCATTCGCCTTGGACAGCTGCACCTCAGTACCAGAAGACTTTCCAGAATGTCTTCGCGCCCAGGAGCAAAAATTTCAACATCCACGGAACGGTAGCATCCCCTCTCCCTTGCATGAAGCCACATGCATTGTAATGTTGTAATGTTCTTGTCGGGAAGCCTTTGAGCCGTGTAGCAGGTTTTCTTTCAAGATCTTTTAGAGGTAATATTGGAGAAATAAGTAAGGGAAATGGAGTTAGTATGAACGACGGGATAACCTGCGTCACAGGTGCCGACGAGGTTCCTGCCGCACACTGAGGGACGGCCGGGGGCTCTCTGGGGACCGGCAGGAGGGCCGTCTTCCAGGACGGGCGTGTCACTCAGCTGTCGTGGGAACCTCTAGCTCCCTCCCTCCTGACAGCGCCGAGACACGTCCCTGGGGGCCGAGCTGAGCCACAGCAGCCTCCCGTGGGGGACTCTCAGCGCCCAGGGCTCGGGAGGAAGCGGGCTGGCACAGCGCAGGGTGGGCGAGGAGTGTTGGGTGGAAAACGGCCAGTGCCTGGGCCACGGCGCAGAGCCGCAGCCGCTCGGACGTTCGCCTCTGTGTCGGTTAGCGGCGTTTGCGTGTGAGGGAAGGGAGCTCCTTGTCTTGTGTTGCCCACTAAGGCTGACTCTTGCCTACTAAGTAGTTCCATTGCCCTCTTATTTTTATTTCCAAGACGTTGATCCCTACAGGTCCCTGGGAAAAATCCTATCAGAGCAGTTCCCCAAAATTTCAAGTCCAAATCTAGAGTCCTTATTTGAATAAAAGCCACATTTTTAACAACAGAACAATTCCCATACACCATAAATTCTGTTTTCTCTTCACAAAACTTAAGCCACTGTCTCCAAAACGGTGCCTCTCAAAGTGTTCTTTACTTCCTAGTAGGTTATATATACTTCCCTTGACCAGGCGTGGGCAGATCGCTGGTGCAAAGGCTGAAGGTGCTGCCTGTGTCAAGATGCAAAATTATAACTGCTTGTTACAAGACTGGAGAAAGAACGAGTGGAAGGTGGACCCATTACTGCTGATTTCTGGCTGTGAAATGAATGAGATGCTTAATTCGCACATTACTTGTCTAAAGTAAGACTCCAGTCCTCTCATGTGATCACTGTAAGGGCTAAAGTACATAAAAACTCCTGACATACTGCCTGCCGTGCAGGACACGTGTGCTTGTGAAATACGATTTGAAGCTGAGTGAACTGGACTTTATAGCAGAGGGCTGTTTCCATTTTGTATTCCAGAAGAGTTCATAGAAGTTACCATGACCAGTAAGCTTGGGAACTTTTGCTTAAATAAGTCTCTGCTACAGGACTTCTCAGAGTTGTGTTTGCTCTAGTATGAGTTGGTCATAAAATATGTTACATAGCATTTCTCAAACTTGGTCACTAAAGAACACCTTGAGGAACATACTTTTGGAGATAGTTGTGGAGAGTTTTTGAATAGACAGAAGAGAATAAACGGTGTATGGGAAAGCTTTTGTTTAAAATATGACTTCTTAACATGGGAAAGACCTTCCAGATTTGGACTCCAAGTTTTAGGAAACTGATACATGATTTTCCCTAGATGTCTAAGGCGATCAATATTTGGGGTAGAAAAATAGCAATGGAATGGTGACTTATTAGCCGAAATTTAATGAAAGGTGCAGTTACTGTTTGCGCACTTGTAGTTGGACCCGAGTGAGAAATGTAGTGTTACTGTAGCTAGGGGTTTCCCAGTGACCGTGAATAAAGTCTCTTACTAATGGCAACAAAAGAGCACGGGCATTTTACAGTTTGGGGAGGGGATGGGAAGCTGTAGAACAAATGATAAGTTAAGAGCTTTCTTTTTAGGAACTTAGGGGAGGGGAGAGAGGGTCTGACATTGCCTCTGCAGGTTCCAATTCATTTTTGCTAAAGATAAAATGATCTTTTTTGTTGTCTAGGAATCTAGTAGTTTGACTATGACGACCTGGCCTTAACTTTCTTTTTCTCTTACGTTTTAGAACAAGCACTGGTTAATTAGGCAAGCCAAGACACCTATGACTAATTCCTCAATACAGTATTTAGATAATGCATTTAGGAAAAGGTAAGAGCTGCTGCTGCGTGCTCAGAGTGGCCTTACGGCTAGGGGACTGCCTCACACTGTTATCCCTGACACAGAACAGGCTCTCGGGTCAGTGGGAGAGGGGCTGGCAGGAGCCCTGGCTGGCTCAGGTGCGAGCAGAGGTGCTTTTACACTCAGATACACCAGGTGACCTTGGGACCCCAGGACTGATTAAACCATCCCTTTTTGGGACTTGTTAAAGAATATTGCAAACTTGAACCAGTGGGTTGAAATTTGTTTCATATATTTAAAGAAAAGGTCACCTGGTAAGAAATCAACCCAAATATTTGCCTTGGCTGTTTACTTTCTCTCAAGATATACTTAGGCCTAGAGGTCAGCAAACTTTTGCCTGTAGGCCAGCTATAAAGTCAGTAAGTCCTGCAGGCTCGCAGGCCCGGCGTTCTCTGGTGGAGCTGCCGTGCTCTGCTCCTGCGGCAGAAAAGGAGCCGAAGCGACAGGGGGGCTGTGTTCCAGCAAAACTTCGTCAAACAGACAGCAGGCAGCTGCGGCCCGTGGGCTGTAGGTCATCCCCTGATTTACGGTATTCAGCGTGTTGTAGCGCAGGCCTGTGTGGCTCAGTCTGTAGTAATCTGCACCAGATTGATAACTTGCCCCTCGGATGAGCCCTGGCATTGCCAGCGGCGATAGAAAGTAGAACCGCCTGGCTGTAAAGAGCCTGGCTTGCTTCTTTGGAAACACTGCACTTGGGAGCGGCGCGTCATGCTCTTTAAGTTTCTCCTCTGGTGCTGCAAGTCTCGGGGGTGGACGTTTAGGGTTTGAGCCTGCGGGGTTGTCCGCTGTTTTTCTTCGGGGAGGCTCTTCGTGCCCGCCCCTCTCGTCAAGGTAGCGGAAGCCTCCCTCCCACTCCTCCCCTCCAGGTGGCAGACTCTGCTCTCCGTGGATGACCTTGTGGAGAAGCTGATCAAGAGACTGGAATTCACCGGGGAGCTCAACAACACCTACCTCTTCTTTACCTCAGACAACGGCTACCACACAGGTGAGCGCAGCCGCAGGTGCTCCCGCCACCCCTCAGGAGCGAGAAGCAGCCCTGGCCGCAGGCCTGACCCTTGTGCAGCTCTGGACTTGCTGTCAGGACCCTTCTGGTTAGAGGGTCGTCTCATTCCCACACCGGGAAATCGCATGCGGGATTAGGTGGTGGTCTAGGCGCAGGAGGCAGGAGGAGAGTTTGAGGCCAGCAAAACCCTGTCTCAAAAGACAGAAAAAAAAACCAATAGAAGGTGATCTTGGAGAAGAAACTTTCTTCCGTTTCACACTCTGAATTGGGCGGACTCCTGTCTTGCGAGGCCTCTGCTCATGGCTCGCAGCATTTCCTTTAGGTCGGCAGTGAGACAGAGACCAGACAGAAACTCCTGTATGCAGGCACGGATGTTTCCACGGTGATGCTTCTTGGTGAATGCCAGTGCTGACCGATGGCTCTGGTGGCTTCAGCCTGAGCCTTCCTGTGAATGTTTGCCGCTGAAGTTCCCACTGGTGATTACTGCCAAAATCCGTTACTCTCAACAGAAATTGCACGATGTCACCTTCATACTTCTGTCCTTCTGCATTTACTGGCTGGGCCTTGCCTCATCAGCTACTTGGTGATCTTAAGATACATTTTATTCAGGGACAGCAGTGTGTGCATTTTTGTCCCTTTCATTTGACAGTATTTGGAAGAGCGTTATTCAGCTACGATCAGGCTGAGTACGGCGTAGAAATTTTTATGTACTTGTGTTTGTCCTTTCCAGTCGTTCCTTTCACTCAGTCCCTCCTGCCACAGACCAGGGAGGCCCTTCTCATTTGACACTGGAAGATGCCCTGCTCACTGTCTTTTCTGCCTTGTAGCAGTAAGAGACCCCAGCAAGTTTAGGCTGTTAAGAAATGAGAAGTAATAGAACAAAGAGTGCTTAGTTTTGATACTGACTAAATGAAACAAAGCATGAGCTACTCGTCCGTGTTGGCTCTATCTTTACCTCGTGCATTTCATTTTCAGGACAGTTCTCTTTGCCAATAGACAAAAGACAGCTGTATGAGTTTGATATCAAAGTTCCACTGCTGGTCCGAGGACCCGGGATTAAACCAAATCAGACAAGCAAGGTAGGTGCGTGCCGGAAGCTGATGCTCTGTGCAGGTAGGCGCTTGCCTGAGAAAATGAGACTGCTACTCCGAAGAGGGCTGGTTGGGATCCTCCCATGAGGAGAAGGCTGGTCAGGGTAAGATTTTCTGTGTTTCTAAGCCTTGGAAACAGTGATTCTTTTTCTTCAACTCCCCAACCCCCACTGTTAAGTGTATTTCCCCCAGATACATGTACGTCAGCATGCGTAGCTCTTGTTTATCTTTGAGACCAGCTCTGCGTCCTAGAACAGTGACTCCCAGCGCAGTGCTCATGAAGAGCACCATCTGGTACGGGTCTGGGCGTTGTCCGGAAAGAATCTGACTGACTTCTGTGTGTGGAGAAGGACCCAGCATCTGCTTTCCTCTCCCTTTTGAGTTTGCAGATGGCTCTAGAGGCCCCGGGTTTCGTGCTCCTCTTCTCAGGGAGAGCTCAGGCTGTGCTGTGTGCGGGTCCCGTCTTGGTGAAGCGCGGGTTCTGATTTCTGACTGGCTGTCAGGAGAAGTCTGCTGTTGTGCACCTCCCATTAGGGATGAGGCGTTAGAAGTCGTACACACAGGAGTCCTCGTGGTGTGCGGGACTCTTCTTACGGATGCTTCTCTCTTTCCCTGGTTCTTGCCCCTAGAGCTATCACTGTGTAACACATCGTCCTGTTCGTATTTCCATTTGCTTTCAGTGTCTTTTTCCAGACTTGGTGCTTATCATCCAGAAGCTTTGTTCCTAGAGATGCCGAGTGCCTCAGTCCAAAACAAGCTCCTCCAGCACTCAGGAGACAAGAATAAGTTCTGCCGGTGATGTCTCCATTCCTTCCTGAGACTCGCACTTCCGTTCCAAGTGCTGTGAAATCACAGTGAGCGAACACATAATTTAGGCTAAAGTTGAAGGACAGATATCAGCATGGGCCAAACTTCCTGGAGACCTTGGGAGCTTTGCGTACTTTCCACTGTCTGCCTTTCATTTCCTAATGTAACGCTGCTGTTAAAGTGCTGTTAAAGTCGTTGCAGGAAGGGACACTGGCCTTTGCAGGGGTCTTTTGAACTCTTTATTTGCTCTTAAGACCTCATTCCTCAAGCTGGTCACCTCCTGGAACAAATTCAGTGCAGTCTGAACAAGCTGCTTTCTCCAGGGAGAGGTGCGAGTTGGGAAGGTGGTTAAATCTTAGAAGTGTTGTGTTGAGGTCGGTGTTTGGAGCTGGCTGAGGAGACCGGGACTGCATCTGACAGTGTGGGGAGCAGGCCAGGTGAGAGCACAGTGGGCTGCGTCAGCCCGCTGCCCGTGGAACACACCGTTCTTCTTTTCTTCTGGGTGACAGTGCCGTCTAAATGTGAGAGTCAGATACGGCCTTGTCTGAGCAGTCTAGATGAGACCTCTTTCCTAAGAAGCCATTTCAACGATAACTCACATTTACTAGTGTGTGACGGGTGCTGTTCTAAGAGTATCACCTGAATCAGCTCGTTTAATCTTTATGAGGTGCTATTTTCCCATCTTACTGATGAGGAAACAGAGGTGCAGAAGTTGGTTGGTTTGCCTAAGGTTGCATAGACAGGATCAGAGCCCTACAGTTGAACTTGGGCAGTCTGGCTACACAATGGTTCAGTCGCCACGTATTTGTTAAGTGTCTGCTGCTGGCACAGTACACCAGGAACCGTGGGTGTGGCAAAGAGCAGTCTGGGAGGATCAGATCTTAGATACCTGTGCCAGGGGGAGCCTGGTCCTTTAGCAGCAGCACCAGGCGAAAGCCTCTAAAGCATTTGTGCAGAGATGCGGCTGTTGAGAAGGATTGGTCACAGAACATCTGCGGGAAGAATGTTCTGAGCGGAACAGCACACAAGAAGGCACAGATGTGGGAATAAGCCGGGCTTGTTCCAGTGCCAGAGGTAGCGTTGGTGCTGAACTGCTTTCGCTTCCTCAGGGCACCATCTTTCTCACTTCCTGGCCTGGGTGCACCCCGTTACTCCTTACGTCTGTGATCCCTACCTCACTCCTCTTTACCTGGCCAGCTTACTTGCCCTTTAGGGCTCCAGTGTAGGCGGTCCGCCCAGGAAGTCACTTTGGACTCCGTCCTCCACAGGAGGTAGGTGCCCTTCCTGCATGTTCCCAGCTGGTCTCTCTCTCTCTCTCTTTCTCGCTCTCTCTCTGTCTCTCTGCCTTGTGTTTGCTGTGATGTCCATCCACGTCCGAAAGGTCATGGAGTAAAGGACAGAGCCGGACGGACAGTGCACGGTGCCTGTTCTCACAGCCCGTGCTTGCCGTGCTGCTGCGCTAACGGGTGGAGTGGAGTGCACATTTTGAGACTTGCTTCACAGGCAGACTCCTCCAGGACAATTTCTTCATCACAGGGAGGGAAGATGCAGTAAGGGGAGACATCTGGGAAGATAGACTCCTGGGATGATGGGCTTACGGTGTTTGTGCCAGGTCTTAGTGACTCGCTTTGTGCTGAACTTCACAGGCCTTGCTTTCCATTGATCAACACACCAGTAAAGTCTCTCATCTTACAGCAGCTGGCTGTTGAAGTGGTTATTACTGAGACAAGCAGCTCCCGTTCTGCATCTCTGGTTTTATCATTTTGGTGTTTACACTTTTCCCTGTAAATCCGTTTTTGGACACGTTGATAGCGGCTTCCTTCTCTTCCTGTTACGGATTCTGGAGACAGCGCCTTTGTCTTCTTTCCTGGTCTTCTCCATGGTCACATGCAGACCCGACAGCAGTGTTCCAGGCTGTTCAGTTTGCCTGGAGCACGGAACTAGGAAACTGTCCGTAACAGGAGATCTGTGTGAGCCCTGGAGACGTGGCGTGGTGCGTGTGTTTCTCAGTGACACATGGACTCCCTCCCTCAGAAGTACGCTAATTAGTTCAGACCGGGATGAATACGTATCACTGGCCCTCTGGGAGCTGTCGTGGCTGTCAGGAAACGTGACCCCGATGAACAGTGCTCCAGAGATGTTTCGCCTTTCATATCTGTACTTTCGGTTTTGCTTTTAAATTGAGAGTGGCGGGTTCTTTGATTTTTTTTTTTTTTTTCCTGACTTCCGTTTGGTGCCTCCTAAGAGCATCTTAAGTTTCCTCAACAGTTTTGAAGACCAGTATTTCTTTCCAGTAAAAGTTTTACCATTTGTGAGCTCTTTACCTTGTTCTACTTCTTGTGTTTTACTTCTTTACCTGTAAAATGGGGAAGTACTGCATCCTCAGATTGTGGTAAGGGATAAGTAAGAAAAAAGTTAGATATCTAACACAGACTAAAAACAAATTAAAATGCAATTAGTTTTTTAAGTATCTTACCTGCTGAAATAGTAATACTTTTATATATTGAGTTAAATAACATATATGCCATGAATTTCACCTGTTATTTTTGATGTGGGTATGAAATATTTTTAAATTACATATGTGGCCATATTAATACTGAACTTTAGGCTAGCTTAGGCCCTACACAGCATTGTACACAAAAGATAGTTTCATATAAACCAAGAAAATAAGACAGGATGTAAATGCAAAACATTCTCTTTAAATTCTGCAATGTTTATTTCCTCTTTAAGGAAACGTTTTTTGGTTTTGAGACAGGATCTTGCTATGTAGTTTAGACTGGCCTTGAACACACTGTGTAGCCCAGGCTGGCCTTGAACTTGGCAGTGATCCTCCTACCTCAGCCTCCTGTGTGCCAGGATTACAGGCGTGCACCACCAGGCCTGGCTTCTTTAAGGAAACTTTTGTTGATGTATGATTAGAATAAGTTTCTTGGAGCCTTAACCCTATTGCAGACATTTTTTTTTTAGCGGTGTTATCACTTTGAAAAACTGTAAAGTAAGCTCATTATTCGCCTTGGTGGCAAGTATTCAAACTTCGCTTTTAAAAGTGCTAGGAGTCCACAGGAGTCAGATTTAGTGAACTAATCTGAATGATCAACTTGGAAGACACTGTATAAAAATCATAAACCCAGCATTTTCCCAATGGTTCACAACAAGGACATTCCAAAGGAGTTTTTTAAAATACTTTGGTGCCTCGGTTTGTGATCTTAATTCATTGCACAATTTTGGAAAAGGTGGATACTTTTGCATTTGTGCAAAAAGATGGCCTCAGTAATGTCTGCGTGCAACTCACCCAGTGCAGAGTTCTCCAACAAAAACAAAACTTTGCCAACGGCTTCTTTTTTTTTTTTTTTTTTTTTTGGGGGGGGGGTCTTTATTTTGAGACAGGGTCTCAGTATACAGTTCAGGCTGGCCTTGAGCTCACTTTGTAGCCCAGACTGGTCTTGAACTCGCAGCAATCCTCCTGCCTCTGCCTGAGTGCTGGGATTACAGGTGTGCGCCACCACGCCCGGTGAAAGGCTTCCATTTATGAAACAAATTGTTTGCAAACAAAAGCATTTATGAACTGAGGTACTGATGTATTTTCTCATTGGTGGCAAGACTAGTGTAACAGTCTCAGCAGCACAAATGTATAATGTTACAGGAATTTGTACTAGAAGCCCTCTAAGCCTTTATGTTTTAATGTTTTTATTTAAATGTTTATTTATTTATGTTTTAATGTTTTTATTTAAATGTGGAAGTAAGATCAAAGAATGGCTGCACTAAGGTAACTGTGGCTGCTGTTTATCTCAGGCGGGGAAGGGAGCTGTGGTATAGATCGGGAAGGAAATCTACACCACTGTGTTCTTGATTGTTTGCTTTTTCCGCATTTTCGTAGGTGCTGGTCGCCAACATTGACTTGGGTCCCACTATTTTGGACATCGCTGGCTATAACGTGAACAAGACCCAGATGGACGGGATGTCCTTACTGCCTATACTGGTGAGTAGGGAGCCCTCAGTCGGTCCTGAACTGAAACGCTGAGTGAATTCCAGGTTATGTAAAGGCTGCAAAGACCAAATTTTAAAGCTGTGAAATGTGGGTGGCAGAGAATAGCATTTTCTCTGATCTCGCGGTAAGATGGTGTTTTCTAAAGAAAAGCACTGGCGGGAACACGTGCGCACTGCAGCATCCTGTACCTCCCCCCCCCCCCCCCGCGTCCCTAGAGGAGTGATGGCGGAGCTTGTGGCGCTTTCAGTGATGACAGACAGCCTGCCGCAGCCCGAGTGCCGTAGGTTCGCCACACTGCCCAGAGGAACCGCCATAGACAGAGACCGTGAAAATATCTGCAACGTGTGTTAAAAGGGATAGTTAATATGAGTTCTTAGAAAAAGATGAACGTATCGTTGGAAAACTGGTCCCCAGAAGTGACTAAGCTCCTCGCCGGAGAATTGGAAATGGCCAAAGTAAGTGCAAAACATGACCGCAGGGCTGACTGGAGCAGAGCTTGACTGAAGGAGGCTTTGTCACGTTCACACTGGCAAAGACTAAAAACAAAACTACCCCCTCAGGGGCTGGGGATTTAGCTCAGCGGCAAAAGCACCTGCCTGGCAAGTGCAAAGTTGTGAGTTCGGTTCCTGGTACCGGAGAAAAACCAAAAAAAAAAAAAAAACTACCCCCCCAAAAAATTAGCAGTATTCACAGAAGTCGGAGAAACTAGAAACCATACAATAGAAGTATGCACAATAAAGTCTGTCAGGAGGCCGGATTAACGAAGTGTACCATTTCAGAATACAGTGCACACGCCGAACAGTTTCACGTGAGAAACCAACCCCTGCGAGAGGAGCTAGGGGACCTCGACGCCTGGCCCTGCACAGAGCTGTCTGTGGAAATACCTGCAGATTCGGAACTAAATGCCGAAATCCCCTCTAGTGAATGGGTTCGGTTGTGCAGTTAGCCCCAGAACACTAAACCCGCGCTGAGTGGTGTATCTGCGCGCACTGACCTGGGCAGGAGCCTGCTGTGGGGGGAAGGGCGGTTCACAGCAGCGCCGCGTCGCCGTTGCTGATGTGACCCTGCGCGGCGCAGTCTGGAGAGCTCGCTGAGCGCGAGCTGGCCCCGTCACGAGTGCGGCTCTCCTGGGCCCTCCAGTCACAAGGGCTGTCACTGCTCGACTTGTCTGATTCTCTTCAGTTCATTATCAGGCAGTGTATCACTCATACAAGAGAGTTCCCGTGCGTCACGTAAGTTACGGACAGGAAGAACCCGGGAGCCGCCACCCCACTGCAGAGAGGCTGCCGGGCCGGGCGTGGCTCGGGGCGGCGCGCTTGCCTCGCGGGGGCGAGTTGGGTTTCGCCCCCAGCACCGCAGACAGACGCCGCCGGTGTTGCCCACGCGGTGCTGCTCCGCGTCCCGCCCTCGCCCGCCCCGGTCCGCACCGTAGCTCTGCTCTTGCTTTTGTGTTTGGTTACCTTATCGCGCAGGTCTCTCAAAAAGCCTGCCTCGTTGGGCCTCCCTGTCAAGTTTGGGTCTTGTCTTGAGCTCGGAGACGTGCTGTGCTGGGTGTAAGCGGGGACTGGTTAGAGCTCTGCGTCGCGCCAGGGCCGGGCTGTGTGGCTCGCAGCTGCCCGGTGCCCGTTGTCCAGCGGCAGCGCAGCCTTGCCTTGTCAGTCCCGGGGCGTCCCCGGTATCTCGCTCGGTCTGTCGTGGAGCCACAGCATTCTCGGACGTGGCTCCCGACCTGCTGGAGGCACCAGGGCTGCAGGAGCTGCCCGTGTTGGCGTGTACGGACGCCGCCCTGCGCCTCTGCAGGATGGTCGTGTGGTCCGCGTCGCCCCCGTGTGGGCCCTCTCCTCCGCGAGAACGGTCAGGCGGCTTGCCCCTCGGGCGCTCGGAAACGGCGCGTTTGTCCGTGCCGAGTCCTGGTCTCTGGTGTAACATTCCCGGAGCTGCGCCACCATCACCGCGACCCAGTTTCGGAACCGCCTGTCACCTGCCGAGAGCATCACCCCTGCGCTCCGACGCGTGCTGCGGCACCGCTGGTCTCCGCGGTCTCCGCGCTGTCTGCCCGTTGCCGTGCGTCCCTTGCGTTCGCAGGCAGTCGCGTGTCGCCTTCTGTTTCTCCCCTCTGGAGTGCCTCTGTGTACCTGCCGTGCCCCGCGAGGACACAGGCTCGAGCGTGTGCGTCACTCCTCCTCACGCTCAGCGGCGGGCCCCGCAGTCCCCGCCGCTCCGCGCGGAGCTCAGGGGAGCGCGCCTGGTTCTGAGCCCGGGAGCAGCAACAACAAAAAACGAACGAACAAAAAAAATCTACTAATCTCTGGGGCAGAAAGTTACTTACGCGCTTTGGTTTTCTATTTTTTTTTTTCTTCTAAAAAGTCTTGAGATCCTGCCTCGCGAACGTCCCAGTCCTCGATCTGTCTAGAACTGAGTTTCTTCCGTGGTGTGAGTCAAGGTGGAATTCTTTTTTTCCTCTGTAGATCCTCAGTTGTCTTTTCCGCCGTACAGCTCTCTCCTGGCACCAGCCTCCTCTTGTCTTGTAGAGCTGTATGATTATGCATGTGGGTACTTCCTTCCGCGTGTCCTTAGCAAGACCCTAGCCACCTCACGGCCAGGTAAACTTACAATCAGCTTTTCAGGTTACCTGAGAAATGTTGGACAGCTATGTACCTTACTAAGTGTATTTCTAATTAGAAAAACTAGATTCATTCTAGGATAAAAATCAGCCTGCTGTGCATCATTTCTCTGCACAGATATGAAAGTGCCGCTTAGAATCGACACTTGTCCTTGTTCGTGTTTTGTTTTGAGGTTATTCTTTGACACACTGATGTACTAGCACAATTGAATAGCCATAAGTACTATTTAAATTAACTAAATAAAGTGGAAAATTCAGTTGATTGCACTAGCTGTACACGTGCTCCATGGCATTCCAAGAGCACAGATACTGAACTTCCGGTCAGAAAGTTCTACTGCAGTTCTGGACTAGAACTGCAGCCTATGGGCCAAATCTAACCCACCCCATTTTTGAGGGTGAAGTTATCTGAGACCCCAGCCACACTCAGCTGTTTATTTAGCCGGTAGCTGCTGAGTAGACCTAACAAATTGTGTATTTGTTAGGCATAAGAACCTGAATATTTACTCTCTGTTTACAGAAAAAAGATGTAACCCCCGTGGACCACGAGTCTCAAACTTGGTCATTATAATCACCTAGAAAACGAAAATGCTAACGCTGGGTTCCGCTTCCAGATTCTGAATTAGCATGGGATGCTGGATTTTCAAGCTCCTTCGGTGACTTTAGTACTTAGCATTTTCAAGACTGACTGATCTAGCCTTCCGGGTACTTTCCTCTGGACATTAACCCTCAAGCGTGGGCTCTGAGGTATGGTCACCTGTGTGACTCTTTCCCTGACGCCCAGTTTCTGGGGCTCAAGACGGCACCGCAAGGACTTGGGGAGCTGGGGCGCTTCGTTATCCTCGCTTACTCCTGATTTCTGAGCTGAAGCTGTGCAGGACTTTGCAGGTTTCAGTGCAGAACGTGAGTTAGGAAACAGTTCTGTCTCTGCCGCCTTTTTCTTGGCTTTCAAGGCCTTGCACAAGCTAGCACCTGTTCCAAGCTGGGTTCATCCTGATGGGGCGTTCTCCGAGCAGGAGCTCTCACAGCAGCCTTTGCCAGCAGTGCCCGCGGTCTTGCTGACTCAGGTTGTCCCCCCTGCAGCAGGGGCTGTGGACTAGCTTCTGATGCCCCTGGCCCCAGGACCACACTTTGGGGCACCGTTTCTCAGATTTACTGTGCATGCAAGGCACCTGAGGGTCTTACTAAATCACAGCTTTCGGCTCACCAGGACTCTAGGGCCTAAGACGATGTATTTCAAACAAGCTCCCACCCAGCCTTGGTATTGGAGGGCTCTAGACCAGCGGTGGTGAGCCTGAGGCACGGGTGCCTCGGCAGGCTGTTCGTATCACAGGAAGCTCTAAAAGCCCTAGACCACTGGATGGCACCAGCCTGCTCTCCATCTCCGTTCCATCTCTAGATTCTTCTCCTGGCTTGTCTGTTCTTTTTTGAGACAGGGTGTCACTGTGTGTTCCAGGCTGGCACTGGGCTCTCGGCAGTCCTCCCGCCTCTTCCTCCAGAGTGCCAGGATTGCAAGCATGTGCCACCGCGCAGGGCTCTGAAGTGCAGCCTTGACTGCTACTTCCCCGCTCAAAAGCCTCCCTTCCGTCACCCGCCATTCTTGCATTGACTTTAGGACATGGTTCTCACTGTACTGTCCAGGTTGACCCTGAACTAATGGACTCGTGATCTGCCTGCCTCGGCCTTCCGAGCAGCTGGGACTACATGCGTGGCACCACTGTGCCAGCTTACCTCAGAGCACAGATGTGCAGCCTGATGTTCATGGCCTCTTCCTGCACGCACCCTAGCCCCGCTTCCCGCCCTGTCCCCCTTCCTCGTCCGAAAGCTGGTTTCAGGAACCCACGCAGCCAGCGTTCTGCCTCCACCCTGATTCCACTGGGTTCTCCCTGCTCCTCCACTTCCTGCCTGTCCTGAACCTGCACGTTTCCAGGGCTGCCAGTCCCTGCTCTCACACCCCCGACGTGCAGCGCAGTGAGCAAGTCGTGTGCGGCTTGCACGCTCACAGTGAGGCACCCTGAGCCTCTTTAGCCCTGAGCACACCAGCCCGGTCTTGGTTTGCCTCCGTCTAATCCTTTCTTTTTTTAAAGATAAAGAACAAAAACACATTAACAAACAGACATAAACAAAACAACACCTGAACAATAGAAGACACAGTTTCAAACAAGCTGATAGGAAATTAACAATAGTTATTATAAGGGGCTGGGGGTTTAGCTCAGTGGCACAGCGCCTGCCTGGCAAGCGCGAGGTTGTGAGTTCGAGTCTCGGTACCGGAAAAAAAACAAAACAGTTATTATATTGCATATTATTATCTTCATATTGGTTACTCAGTTAAAGAAATACAGGCATGTAAGATTGAGCAGACGGTTGAACATTAACTGTCCCTTTCAGTAAAGCAATAGAAGTAGTACAATAGTAGTAGCAATAGTACAACTCTCAGTTATCCTGTGTATGTGTGTATATATTTTCTCCCTTCTTTTTCTCTCATCCCAGTTGCTCCCTCCCTTTGAGCAGTTTCCCTTTCACAATATCTATTATACCTTCCAGATTTTATTTACTCTTTTAGGTTCCTACACAAGTGAGACAATATGGTATTTACACATGCAGATCTGGTTTACTTCACTTATGAGTATGGACTCAAGTTGCATCCATTTACCTATGAAAGCCTCGAGTTTATCTTTCTTTATAGCTGAGTAATACTCCATTATGTAAAAACACCACATCTTTTTTATCCGTTCCTCAGTTGATGAGCATTTGGGTTCCTTCCACGATTTAGCTATTACAAACTGAGCAGCTGTAAACGTGAGTGCACATGTATCGCTGTGGTTATAATGTTTTCAGTTCTTCTGGGAAAATACCCAAAAGGGAAATCGCTGGGTTGCGTGGGACCTCTAGTCTTAGTTTACTAAGGAGTCTCCAGACGGAATTCCGTAGTGGTTGCACCAGTCTACACTCCCACCAGCAGTGGAGTAGGGGTCCTTTCTCCTCACAGCCTCTCCAGTATTTGTTCTTGGTTGATTTCTTGATGATAACCATTCTCTCTGGGGTGAGATGAAATTTCAGTGTTGTTTTAATTTGCATTTCTTGAATGACCAGTGATGTTGAACATTTTTTCATGTGTTTATTTGCCATTTGTATTTCTTCATCTGAGAAGTGTCCTTTGTTGGAGGGACAGTCAGCTAAAATTTTTTCCCAGTTTATGGATTTCCTTTCTGCACTCGTGATCTGCCTGCACTGTTGGTTCCTTTCTGCACTGTTGGTGATTTCTCTATATGTGCAAAAACTTTTCAGTGAGATCCCAGTTGTTGATTCTTTGAAGTGTTTCCCGTGCAGTTTGGTTTTTGTTCATGAACTCTCCGCCTACTCCTATGTCAAGATTTTTACCTACTTTCTCTTCCAGTAGAGTTAGTGTTTGTTTTAATATTTAAATCTTTGATCCATTTTGACTTGAGTTTGGTGCATGGTGATACACATGGGTCTAGAAGTAGTCTTCGGCATGTGGTGAGCCACTTCCTCCAGCACCGTTTATTGAAAAGGCCATCTTCCTTCCACTGAACTCCATCGTACCCTTGTGTGTACTATGTAATGTGTTCTTTGGTAAAGGCTTGAGCCAGTTCTTAGGTAGTGTGATCAGTACACACAATGAATGCTCACATTTTAGAAATTTACTGCAGTACTGCTGGGTATAATTCCAGCACTCAGGAGGCTGAAGCAGCAGGATTGTCATGAGTTCAAGGCCAGCCCGAACTGCACAGCGATAGCCTGACTCAAACCCCCCCAAAAATTATTGCAGTAAAAGACACGCTGTCATTAACCCCCTCAGGCCACCGCTCCTCCCTCCATACCCCATCACTCTTGCCCCTCCCGGAAGCAGTTCGGGAAGTCCCTCCTTGTGGGGTGTTTCCATGGTGTGATGTAATCCCAGCTCGGGGAGGCGGAGGCAGGAGATCGCTGTGAGTTCGAGGCCAGCCTGAACCTACAAGGCAAGAACCTGTCTCAGGAAACCAAAAAGCAGAAAATACACCGTGAGTGCTGCTGCTGAGCGCCACCAGAGGCCAGGCAGGCCCACTAGGGCCATTACGCTGTGTCCTCATCCACCTGATTCGCTGGCTCTGACGTCACGCAACTTGTGGCTCTTCCCCCAAAGCCAGAGTGACCAGCAAAGGTAAATTTTTTGACACAGTTCAGGACACTGAAGGAGCCACAACAGTGCAGCTGAAAATACGAAAGAGAACTTCCAGCACTGCCCCCGAAAGCGGCAAGCACGATGGGAGAAGTGTGTTCAGTGCTGGGAGGGGTACTCCAAGGGGACAGTAAACTGTCACAGGTTTTTCAGTACACCCCAAAAGTGGCATCATTTAATCTGAAGCAACTTGTCCTGTGACTTTGATTGTTGATGAGCTACATGGTTGGCTTCCACTCCAGCCCTGTTTCACAGAAGTACTCCTGAGAAGGAGCTATGAAGTGTTCAAAGCATTTCACCCTCACTTTCAGGGCCCTGTAAATACCAGATGCGAATCTCCGTAGGTTTCCTGTGTGCGGTTCAGCATCTCCTCTAGATACCAGATGCCCAAGCTCCCTTCGGCAGTGGGGTGAGAATGCTGTTGCCTTTATCACGGTCACATGCCTTTGCTTCTTCCCCTAGAGAGGGGGCAGTAACTTGACGTGGCGATCGGATATCCTGGTGGAGTATCAAGGAGAAGGCCGCACCGTCCCGGACCCCACCTGTCCATCTCTGAGTCCCGGAGTGTCTGTGAGTAGCACTCGCGCTGGCTTAGACGGCTTCCTCACTGCAGCGCGGCCAGGGCAAGTCCTGAAACCCGGGAGCATCGCGTTTGTCAGCCGGCTGGGGGGTTAGACTGGCAGCTGATTCCCAAAGCTGAACATGGCGCTGCCCCCCGTCCTCGGAACGCCTGCTGTGATTTCTTTCGGTTATGTACAAGTCCGTGTGTCTGCCCAGACGCTGACAGTTCTCCGTTTCCCACTCCTCCCGCAGTCGTGCCATTTTCTGTTAGGGTGGCACCACTGGCATCGGATAGAGCGGTGGGATTCCCATTTGGGACGGCCGTCGTGTGTCTGCACTGACGGCAGCCCAGGCAGGGCGTGAGGGCGGTGACAGCCCGCTGGCCTCTCTCTGGAGGATGAGAGGGGGGCTTTCGTTGGAATGGACTCTTGCGACCCCCGCAGTGGTGCCACCGTGAAGGACCAGCCCACAGTGGAGCCAGAGCCCGTGGAAGATAGGGCGAGATGCGTTTCAGTTGGTCGCAGTTGGTGACAGCACTTTTAAGGAACCCCCCGGCTGGCTGTGGTGCTGTAACCCCAGCCCTGGAGGCCAAGGGAGGGGCGTGAGTTCAAAGCCAGCTTTGGCTGCATGATGAGTGCCTGTCTGAAAGAGTCGGATGACAAGTGACTCACCTGCAGATGCCCACAAAGCTCCCTGTAGCCCTGACCTTTCAGGGTGACAGTTCCTAGTGGTCCTTGAAGTGACTCATTTGAGTATCGCTTCTCCTTGACAACCGTATGTCTCACAGGCTCGTTAGCGCTAACTCCACAGGGGATTAGCAGGCAGGGCTGCCAGCGGCCTGCGAGAGGCAGAGTCACATGTTGCCTTCGTCCGGTTTCCATCAGTAACAAAAGGCGCCTTGCTTCTCTGTCTGACCCGCTGGCCGCTCTGGGAGGTTTCCTCATTTCTCTCACGGCCCACATCCGCTTTAGCCAACTTGGTTGTCCCTGTGAGCCGCTAGGTTTCTGTTACCATGGAAGAAGGGTCTGCATTTAACTTCCTTCAAATGTGTCCACAGCAATGTTTCCCAGACTGCATTTGTGAAGATGCTTATAACAACACCTACGCCTGTGTGAGGACAGTGTCAGCACTGTGGAATTTACAGTACTGCGAGTTCGATGACCAGGAGGTAAGGGGGGCGTCTGCCTGCACCTCCCGCTTCGTTGTCAGGCCTTGCGGGGGACCTCTGCACAGCTGCGGTTCCAGCGGAGGACGTGGTATCCCGTGTCCGTACCGCAGTGTGGGTTCCTTCAGCTAAGAGAATCCCAAAAGGCCATGCCTTACTTCTCTCTGATCACCGCCATCCGGCCCCCCGGTGGTGGGGTAAGAGCAAAGCGCTGCAGCCTCAGTGGAGCTGAGAGGAGCTGGAGTATTTCCTGGAAAGCTGGCCAGCAGCTGCCTTACCAGAAACTCCTGCTCTGCCCGCTGCAGTCCTGTGCTGCTCAGACAGGCTTGCGTGGGGGCAGAGGCCCAGGTGCGCCATTCTGGGGAGAAGGTGGCTTTTCGGCCGACAGAGATGAGTGTGGATCATCTGCAGGAGCGCGTGGACGCCGGTCCCTGTGGCTCGTACCAGCACGTGCTCGCCCGCCCGTCCTCACCCTCACCACCCGTGTGTCCCAGGGACTCACGCACCAGTCCACGAGCGGCTCGGCAGCGCCTTGGGCACAAGCACGAGCTCCCCTCACGCAGCGCCTCTGGCCCCTTTCTCGTCGGGTTTATCGGTCCCGTAGCTCTGTGTGGGGGTCTGAGGACGGCCACATAAAGCCGCTGCAGGCAGCATGTGCCCACCAACTTCTAGGCTGTCCCTGGACTCTCCTTTAGAAAAGAGCGTACAGGTGGAGGGAAGTCCTCACGCTGGGCGTGTGTGATGTTGGAAGTGTCCCGCCCCGATGGGTGCCATACGCCTACAGCTACTTTTCAAATGGGAAACTGCGCTGCGTGCCGGCAGCTAGGGCACTGTCCCCGCACACCCTGCTTTCCTAAGCCTTGCCGTCAGCGCTCACTCTCCGTGGTGCTGTGTGCTGCAGTTACAGGAGGCACTAAGCACCCGCCGGTGCTGCCCCCACTGCCTGCAGCCCAGGGTGCGCAGGCGGCCCCTCCCCACAGCAGCCGAACCCCGCCCCAGTCAGAAGTAACTCCCATCGGGAGCGTCTGTCCCAGTACAGCCCTGACCCTTTCTTTCCTCCACCCTGTAGGTGTTTGTAGAAGTCTACAATCTGACCGCAGACCCAGACCAAATCACTAACATAGCTAAAAGCATAGACCCAGAGCTTCTGGGGAAGATGAACTATCGCCTCATGATGTTACAGTCCTGCTCGGGACCCACCTGTCGCACTCCAGGGGTTTTTGACCCCTGGTAAGTTTCCCGTCTCCGCCTCAGCAAGCGTCCCTAGGGTCCTGCTCTCTGGAAGACACGTTCTGCCTTGGAGCTGAGCTGTGTGTTCCGCTGCAGAAAGGGAACGCTGGGTTCTGCTGCTTCTCCACTTGAGACCCGGGCTCTGCTGCCATCTGCTGCTTTCACGGCAGGCACAGCCCTACTGCCCCTCCCGGGACTCCTCCTCTGCTCGATAGAGTTTGTGTTTTTGGTTTTTTTTTTTTGAGTCAGGGTCTCGCTGTGCAGTTCAGGCTGGGCTTGAGCTCACTTTGTAGCCCAGGCTGGTCTCGAACTCACAACGATCCTCCTGCCTCGGCCTCTGGAATGCTAGGATTACCGCGTGCACCACCACGCCCAGCACAGTTTTGTTTCTGAGACGGTAAAATGCAGTGTCGTTCTCACTGCGCTGGGCAGTGTAGTTCTCCGTATCTGCCAGGTCCATCCCCGCGTTGCCCGTCGGCACGCACTCTACCTTTCCCCTGGAGCGGTACCAGTTCGGCAGGCTCTCCATCTCATACCGGGCGTCGCACGTGCATGCGCGCTATTTTACGGTGGCCCCAGGGGCCGCTCTGTGCTCATTCGCAAGCCGGCTCCGGACACACACCCGAGGCGCACACTTGCGGGCTGTGAAAAAACAAAATCTGGCTGCTTTCTGCCTTTCAAGATGAACCTCCCTAGGCTGTCCTCTCGGCTTGCACTGCGTGATCTTAACGCTTGCCGGCTTGCCGTGAAAATGTCCCTCGCTGTGAAGTCGTCACGTGTTACACCGCAGCCTTCCCCGGCAGTCCCGGCTGTGGTCGCGGCTTCTGTACCCCTCCCTGCCAGCCCTGCACTCACTAATTCCCTGGTGAGGTGCTTGCAAGCAGGCTAATGAGTGTGACGTCCTCCTTGTCTCCAGGTACAGGTCTGACCCTCGTCTTATGTTCAGCAGTCACGGCAGCATCAGGACACGCAGGTTCTCGAAACACCCTCTGTAGTGACGGCGTGCAGCCCCGCACTGGATCCCTGCACCCCTTTCTGGCGAAGCGAGCCCAGCAGGTGTCTGTGGGTCATCTCTGAGAACACACCTGGAAGAGCTTTGGACTGGCTGTTCTAAGCCTGTTTAAAAAGCAACCCCATCAGCTGACTTCCTTGTGCAACTTGTCAAACTGTGAACTCTGCCCCGAGTCAGGAGTGACTTCCCGAGGCCTTCCCTCAGGTGGTACTGAGCTCTCGGAGGCCGTTGTTCCCGCCACACGCTTTCTGTTCCAGGGCCACAACTCGATTGTTCCGTGTGTGGTCAGAGTCCGAGTTTGTAAATCCATTCAGGTCAATGGCAGTACTTTAGGACGAAAAAGGAGGAGACTTGTTATATAGCGACCTAAAAGCAGAGGACCTACGTAACATTTCAGATGCACTCACTGTCAGAAGTGCTAGCATCACAGGGCTTGAAGAATCCCCTTCAGAGCCGAGTCATCTGATTAAGAACAAGTTCTGTTGTTTTTCTGTAAGTAGAGGTACACTGTTCATAGAATCTCACCACATGATAAATGAAGGTGGCAAATTCAAAGCTGTCAGCCAAGCTCTGTTCATTTCCGTGGGATTCTGGGCTGGTGCTGCAGTGCGAGAGCAGCGAGCTCTGGCGGAGGCCACTCCAGGCCGCTCCTGCAGGGGACGGGCGTCCGCTTTGCCGCGCCTGCTGACCCCACGGAGGGCCCGTCAGCACCAGCAGCGTTAAGGAGACATCTCTTGCCTTGAGACGTGCTCCTCGAAACAGGCCGAGGGTACAGTAGTGGGGGAAAGGACGGCCAGGGCTGGGCCCCTGTGTCTGCTGGGAGCCTAGGTAGGGCTCCGGGGTGGGCAGGTTACGGGCTGGACTTGTGCGGGTGCCCGTCCTGTGGTGTTGGTGCCGTGTGTGAGGTCGTCTTGACTCTGCATTTTGCTGTCGTCCTCTTCAGCTAGGAGGCACAGATTGTAGTTGGTGCGAGGTATCAGCTGCTGCACCCACCTCTCCCTCCTCAGACGGGCTCTTCCTGAGTTGGCGGGTCTTACACTGTATAACCAGGGCTCCACCTGGTAGTCCCGCGTCAGTCAGGTCTGCTCGGCCTTTCTGTTTAGCATGCACCTACATTTTTGTTTCTTGGCTTGAAGACTAATTTCATTTCCAACATTTTCTTCACAAGAATTCCAATTGGTGGTGCAGACAGCAAGGGAGAGAGCTGTGGTTGTTATAACCTGTTCAACTCAGGCAGTAAGTGATGTTAGCTTTACTCAAGGCCTTCTGTCGAGCTTTAAGCACTTTGTAAGACATGGCCACAAGTATCTTTTCTGTCAGAACTGAAGACAGCCATGTTGGTTTAATAGCCCTTGGGTTTATTCCTTTACCTCATGTCCCCCAGCACCTGTGGTGATCGTCTGGCGCTGAAAAGGCAAGTGAAATGAACGCCTCCGCTGTGAGTATTTGAGAAGCCCCTCCAGTGTAACCAAAAGCAAACTACAGTGTTGGATATGGGTACTGGCTTTATTCTCCGCTCAGCCTTCTTGGTCAGCTTCTACGTTCATGACAGCTGGCCACGGTTCCTCCCAGATAAAAAGCAGCCGCCTCCTACCAGCTCTTGGGCTGTGCTGTCACGTTCTTGTTTCACGGTGCTGGCGCTGGAAAGCAGGCGGAGTCGCGCTCCCGGGTTGGGTGGTGACGCTCTCGGAACCTCTTAGTTCCGGTGCCGGTCTCACCTAGTCTTTGAGCGAAGAGACGTCAGCTTATAGCTCAACAGACTGCAAAATGCACTGATGTTTTCACAATGTTTATGTATGAGGGACACTTCTAGGGGATTCCCTCTGTTCTTAATTCTGCTGATTTGGATTTTGATTATTTTCCCTTTTGAGAAGGTCGGGTCCATGTTGGTGTCCTTCGGCGAGGAGGACCACAAATCATTCAGATGAAGAGAGGCCTTAGCGATGGAGAGATTCTGCCTTACAAGATCTCCTGTTACAGAACTGTCCCTCGCATACAATTTCAGAGTAAGGAACACATTTTAAGTATCTTAAAGCTTGACCAACGGTGCTGTTGCAAACACCTTTTAATTGACATTAGGATTTTTGTACAAAATAAATCATAACCATAATAGTTACCTTAATTTGGAAAAAAACCGTTCATTTCTGAGTGTCTAAATGAAGCAGTAATGCTTTTTAATGAAACGTAAGTTACCCTAGAATCCTTCAGAGAAAGTAAGTTACTTCAGTTGCCCCACCAGTGGAGTCTGATGGGCATATTGGCTTCTTCGGCTTGTCCACCACTTGGTCCCCACCGGACTGTGTGAATTCCCGTGTTTGCGTCATCTGTTAGAAGTTACTCCGCTCCGGCTCTGTCCTCACTCATTTCACTTAGAAAGTGCCCTTCACAGGACCCTGTTCACTGCTGCACTTTTCGATGAATTAAAGTTTATTTCTGTTCTAGTGAGAATGTGTCCTGTGTTTCAGTCCACAAGTAGTAATGCTGACAAGGGTGTTTTTATTTTTGACGCTCTGTGTTTTATCATCCTCTGTAGTAGAAGTCCATTTCCTATGCCGACTCTGTAGTCTCTCCCTGGATAGCTCTTACATTGTCCCTGCTGATAAGCCCCGAATAAAGCAACACGGACCCAAGTATAAAGTCCTTCCCAGTTGAGTCATAATTCACAGCTCTGGAAGAAGAAAAATTTTACCTTGCCTGGCTTTCAAGTAGACAGGCCAGGCTCACCATCAGAGGCCGTTTGCCTTGATATGGAGATGTTTGCGCCACTGCCCTACAGCGACAGACTTCTTACAGGGGTCAGCAGGCTTCTTCCTTAAAGCGGGAGAGAGCTACTAGACAAAGTGGCACAATTCTAACCCCAGAGCCCTGGGAAGCAGAAGCAGGAGGGTTACAAGCCCAAGCCCATCTTAGACTACAATGCAGTGAGACCCTGTCTCAAAAAAAAAAAGACTTCCAAGAAGATGGCGGAGCTGTAAGCAGCAGCAGGTTAGCCTCTCTGAGATTCATAATCCAGACACCAGAACACAACAACTTGGGAAAGGAAAGGAGAGAAGTGGGTCCCCGGGACCCAGGAAGGCTCTGAAGCGAGAATTGAAGCCCACTGACCTCAACACAGAAGGAGAGCAAGCTACACTTCGCCCGCACTCCTGGCACGTGGTATGCGAGAGGAGGCTGGAATCTACACAGACACCGTGAAGGTGGGTGACGGCAGAGGCCTCCAGGAGAAGGCCACAGTGGGACAGAGCAGTGGGTGCTGTGAGCTTCGGTAGCTGGGGAGTGACTCCAGTGCAAGTGTCCCTGGAGAGGGAGCCCGGCCCGCTGCCCCTCGGGAGGGGCCAACTAAACCTGGGTGAGTTTGCTCTCCCTCAGGGCTCCCAGGGACTAGATGAGGGACAGCGTGGGAAACACCCAGGGTTGGGGAGCAGAGGGCAGGCCAGCAAGAGACACCCAGAGGGTTGTAGGCTGAACAGCTCAGGCCCCGGCCCCACAACCAGAGACGAGGATCAGCCTGTACCTCGTGGAGTTCAAAGCCCCAGATGAGTCTCCTACCCTGTTCCTACTGTGTGCTTCCTGGGATTATCCAGTACCCAGCCCTAATCCTACTGTGGGCTAGCTGGAACTGTTGGGATTCCAGCAAGACAGATTGGGGCTGTCTCCTTTGTCTACCTGAGAGTGGAGATACACCCTGAATTGGACACTACCACGATACAGAACACCTGGTTAAATCACCTTAAGTTACTGCAGGCTGATCAGGCCCACAATCTCCCAAGAGAGTGGACAGTGAAGGCTTAAATAAGACAATGGAAATGATCTCAGGGCTCCAGGAGGGACTAACTCCCTTACAGCTTCAGTATTCTCTGAGTTAGCCAAAGACTGCTCTGCGCGGCCCATATTTGGTTTACAAACAAAAGAGGAGAATACTCAAGAAAAGGCGGGAATCTGCGCAGGACTTTTTCAAGTAATGCATTGTGTTAATTTAAGAGAACTAAGTTATCTCCAGGAAGGCCTTCACAACAGGAGTGAGACGCCTGCAGCTACAGTCTTCCTTAAGTTAATTGGGGCTGGAGCCAGACTTCCTCAGCTGTGGCCTTCAGACAAAAGTAAACACAGAAAGCCAGTTGATGAATACAAAATCCTGCTCAGAGCCACTTTGTAGTGGTCCCCAACACCATAATACTGCAGACTTCAGAAGACAAGCACAAGCTTAAAGTTGCAGAGAACTCTTTTTTGTTTTTCATGAGTGCAAACATTGTTCTTAGTTGTTTTGGTTTTGTGTACTTTTTGTTTTTGTCTTTTCCTTCTTTCTTTCCCTCATGTCTTCACCAATTTCCAAAAGCTTGGGTAATTTTCCTTTGTTCTTCTGCCTTGCTTCTAATCTCTTTTTCTTTATTTTTTCTCATCCCTTTTAAATTTCTCCCAAGGGTAAAATCACTCTATTGAGAGGATATTTAATGTATATAATTTCCTGATTTGTTTTAGTTTTTATAGAACTATAACTCTTGCACCTTTAAAGGTGGCAGATTAGCAGTTACAATGGTTTGGCATTTTCTAGACTGTACTCAATGCTATTATTATTGATTCTACTATGTTGGCCAAGGTGACACAGTTGTGATCAATTGTTCTTTCTTGTATAACAATAGCAAGATTATCTGGTGGCATAAGCAATACCACTTTCTGGCACCAAAGAACTGGCTGCTAGGCCAAATAGGCAGCAACTTCTCATCCCTAATAAATTGAAAAGGCAGGATCTTGGGACAGACTCAAAAGCCAAAAGCCAGCTACATCTCTGAAAAGTCATTTCCTAAGGAGTTCTCAGTACTAGTAACAAAGCTACCCACCATAAGCAATTTACAAGCACTGATGCAGAAAACGAAGTTTAAAAAATAGAAAATGAGAAGATAGGGAAGCAAGATGTAGCCCCAGACTCCAGCCCACCCAAGGCAAATCCTGAAGCCACTGAGGTGGAAGAAATCAAAAGCCACCCAACTGAACTTTCTAAAATAGTAATAATGGAAGTAACAAAGCAGATAAATGACGCTCTAGCAAAAACAAATCAGAAATAATTTCACAGATAACCAAAGAGATGATGACCATAATGCAGGACATGGTTAGTGAATGTAGAGTAGATGCAGGAAAAAAAAAAAAAAAAAAAAAAAAAACCCTTAGGAAAGTGGTGGAAACCATGAATACTCAACATAGGAAAAAATTTGATTCCATGAAACAGATTCAAACAGATATCCAGGAGAATAAAAACAAAGTATATGCAGGCCAGGAGTGGTAGCACATGCCAGTGATCCCAGCTATCAGAAGGCTATGGCAGGAGGATCACGGTGAGTTTAAGGCGAGCCTGAACTGCATAGCAAAACCCTGTCTGGAAAAAAAAAAGTGAAAGTATATGCAGCAGAATCAACCAATGTGCAGACAATATCAGATCTAGAAGACAGGTTTGCATTAGTGATAATCAAATGAAAGCTTTCTTAAAAATAACAAGGGACCACAAAAAATCCAACAGCTGCTAGAATGCAAAGAAGAGTAACAAAATTGATAGGAATCAATGAAATATCAGAAGATAGCATGAAAGACAAAAGTCCTCTTCACAGAAGTATGGCAGAAAATGTCCCAAGCAAGGAAAAAGAATTTCACATATAATATGTGAGGCATACAGAACTCCAGTTAGCCATGGTCAGAAAACAAAACACAACAA